AAGAATACCTGTCTAACTGAAATATATATATATGATATATATATATATATATCTAGAAAACCTAAATAACATAAGAAGCTTGACTACTATAAATGATTATCTATTAATTTATATTTCTTAATTATACAATACATTTCAAATGAGCTGCACATACACAATATCTTAATCAAGAGTGTATATATATATATATATACTTACTTTATATTTAAATTTGTATCGATAGACCAAGATCTATACCATTGCAAAGTATTCATCTCTTTATAAACAATATTTGGGGATTTGGGCATAGTTCTCTCCAAAATGCTTCCTGCTTTTTGTTGGGCAAAGTAATTTTAGGGGTCTACAGAGACCTTTCAGGGGTCTTGGTCCATCAAATCACATTAGCCTGGAAGGAATCCACAGGTTCTCATCTTCTGTGGAAACAAAATCAGAACCTCTTTTCCAAAACAACATAGCCTTAGACCCAAATTTTGAAGTCAAGATACCTTTAAAATATATATGTTGGTTTGGCTTAGCAGCCTGTACAATGAAATGTCTCTCTATACTTAGCTCAGTCACAATCAAAAATTCAAAGAAAACACAGTAATAAACATAATTCAGATTCTCTGTGTATATTCCATCTTTATGTGGCGTATGTTTCTTTACTCCTTTAATCTATGACTGTCTGTACTCTGTCTCTTTAAAGTCTTTACTTTTTTCAAACTATTTACTTGGTTTTATAACTATTTCTTCTCTCTCCCAAGCCTACATATATTTATTCAACACTGTGACCCATTTAGAGGTCTTTTCCATCTAAATTTGTCTTTATTGCATATTTGTAATCATTTTCTGACCAGTACTGTTCCTTAAAATGCTGAGCAGCATGGTAAGGACTAAGGCTGCTTTGCCTTTTGGCCCCATCCAGTCTAACATGGCCGAGGTCTGTTCATTGTTTCTGAGACTACTGGGTGGGGGCCAGTTGGCCCATGCTGCTACCAAGTAACTTGCAGCATGCTGCCCAAAAACCCCGTTCAAGTACTTGGCCTTCTAAAAGAGCCTGAATTTGTGCTGCCAGAACCAGGAAGCCACCATTTCTTATGCTGAGTCAGTAAGCCTTTTCTTAAAGGAACCTCAGCACTCCTGCTCGCCACCAGCAAACAGAGTCCATCTGAAAAAAATGCCAGCTACCAAGAAGCCATGCTTAACTCTGTTCTTTTGTGTCTATAATTTCTTTCTAAGCTTTCTCAGGTTTTATGTGAATGTAGCTGGCCCATGTTGGTGTGCCAATAATGATATTTCCTCTTCATTAAAAAAAAGTTAACTGAAGACATCCATCATCCTATTTTTCTTCTCCTCAAGAATATTTGGTGGCGAAATGACTCAGTGGTTAGGAGAGATTACTGTTCTTTCAGAAGACTAGAGTTTAGTTCTTAAGCTTTCATGTCAGATAGCTTACAACCACTGTGACTCCAGCTCCTTTCTCTTCTGGCCTCTGTGGGTGTCCCACTAGCAGGCACAGGCACATATGCATACATAAAAATAAAAAATAACTCTTAAAAAAGAATATTTTTAAGAATATAATATTGCATATAGAATAAAGTTCTTGACATGGTGTCTCATTCAAGCCTTGTTGCTTGGTTTGAAATGTTCTTCCCTTTTAACTTTTAAATCTCTAACACATCCCATCTCATTCTGGGATCTTTTCCACTTGCTCACTAAGAGAATGGTGTTTTCTTTCAGTTTCTGTGTTTAGAGTTGGCATGGCTCTGTTGACATTTATCTTATGCTACTTTGATTTCTCTCTCTCTCTCCCTCTCTCATGTATGCATACATGCATATACCCCATTCTTCCTCACCTACATTGCTAATTGTTTGAAGACAGGGCCTTAGCAGAATGCATTCCACAAAAGGTGCTTAATAAATGTTTGATGAAGAAGGCAAAGGAAGAGTTATTGGGCTGCAGGCAATAACAATGACTTTGAGAGCAGAGAGCTTAGTTAAAGAGGCCTTTTCAAAAGTGTGCAAAGGGTAATAAAGGACTCAATGTATTTGCAACTTGACTCAAATTCTCATTTTATACTAGAGAAACTTTAGGGAGATTGAAATGACAATAGGGCTTTGGGACTACTGAAAATTTACATGGGACTATGAGGAACAAGTTTGCTCTTCCCTAGTGATCTCAGATGCCACACCCATAAAGTCTCACCAACATGACTTCCTAGACGTGAACTGAGGAAGGACAACAATATACATGCCAAGGTGGATGGGGGAAAGACCATGAGGCCTCAACACTACACAAAGGCAGCTAAGGACTGCTAAAATTGGGAGAAATAATCTTCCCCATGGAAGTGCACACCGGTTGGTTATCTAATTCCAAATTGTGAACCCTGAAAAGTTACATACAAGTAGCATTATACATATATAGTTAGAATTATATATGTGTATATATATTATATATATGCATGTGACAACAATTAGTGAAGAAAGAAGCCATGAATTTGAAGGTGAGTAAGGAGGGGTATATGGAAGAGGTAGGAGGGAAGGGGAAAATTGTGATTATATAATAATATCAAAATTAAAATAAAAAGCTTTTTTCAAAGAAGTTACTAAACCCAAGTAACTGTAATAACATTATTGATAAAAGATAGTAAATCAAAAGTGGAGAGTAGACATGGAGGGAAAATGAAAAGTTAATCTTTAGATATCATATATAGAACAGAGAACCAACTGGACGTATCACACAAGCAGTAAAAGATGCTTTGGGGGAAATTACCATTCCATTCACTCCAACAGATACTGACATAGTGTGTACTATATACCATTCTCTATTCTGGAGATAGACAAAACACAGTCTCTGCCTCCAGACTTTATGATTAAGTGGTGAAGACGCTCTAATAAAATTGCAGTGATATGAAATAGTAAGCAGAATTACTGAATTATATGGAAAATATATGTAAATATAGGTGGGAACGTAATTGATTGTGCAGTTACCAGTGAGAAAAAGTTACAGAAGGGATGATTACTGAGTTTGTCCTGATGACTGAGTTTGTCCTTGGAAGATAAATATAAGTTTATTCAATAAATGAGGATATGCCTTGTTAAATAAAAGCATAATCTCAGGAAAAATATAGGGCATACAAATTCATGGCCTTCTAAAAGAACAATAAGAAATCTGAAATGATTGAAGAAAAATGGATTTCAGAATGAAGATGGGTAGTGCAAAGGGGATAATGATTATCATAAAGCAAAGCATCAGGAACATACATGGTACACATACACACATGAAGATAAAACACTCATGCACATAAAATTTAAAAACCTTTAAGAAAAGAAATATAACACTATCCAGCAAGAACCAAGGAACTCTGTTCAGTTGGAGACTTCTCAGAAAGAAGAATCAGTTGTGTTTTTTTTTAAAAGGTGTCGTCCCTGGTAGATTGACCACACTTCAGTGGATGGTCCCAGCCTAGTATTATGTGGGCAGTACAAATTGGACTTTGTGGGTTATTTTCTTTTTTTTTAAGTTTTGAAAAGAAGACAGGAAGCTAAAGAGGGTAGGAATGGATCTGGGAGGAGTTAGGGGAAGTAGTTGAGGGTGAATATGATCAAAATACACTATATGGAATTCTAAAATAATTATTAAAACCATTTAAAAATATCCAGCAGGGCTGATGGAGAGAGGAGATAGCAGGGCCCAGGGATGGATATTTTACTGAATTTGAAATATGTATAGGAATATTTTGAAGAGAGCAAGTGACTGACAGTACAGCCCCTCCTCCCCAGCTAATACAGCAATCTAACTGCTTGGGTTTTGATGCTCTCAAGGAAATCATTGTATATTTCTCAGCTTTCTAGAGCTCTGCTCAAGTGGTCCTTGAATAGACTCTTGGGATAATTGTACTTCTCTGTGTCACTGCTCTGTGTGCCGCAGAAATGGAACTGAAACTTGCTTGCCAGCACCTGCCGATGTTCCTTCTCAACCAGCTCAGGCATTCATTTCAAAGAGCTCAATTTGAAATATGGTTTTGCCACTTAATTAGCATTGCGATCTGGAGCAAGCTAGTAAAATTCTCAAAGCCTTTGTTTCTGCATTTGTGAAGTGAAAGAAAAGAACAGCTTCTGTATTAAAAACTTATAATTATAATTTAATACATGAATTATTTTTCTGTGTAGTGTTTGGCATATAGATTGCTTCAAAGCAGTCAGATACTTGTTTCTTCTTTCCCCATTATATTTGGGGAGTCCCATGATCTCCTACATCCATTTTAGCACCGCATCTGGACTTCATTCCATCCATTATCAAGAGTATTAGAGAGGAAGAGAAGAAGAGATCTGTCCACAGAAAGACAATGAGTAGTGGCTGTTGATTCAACTCCCTCTTGACTTTGCGGCAGAGATATTTTGATGTAGACAGTGTCTCAAAATAGGAAAAGTATTTAGATATTGGATAGAATTTTTTCTCTAAGCCAAGAAATATGAGTAAAACATTATGACAGCTATGTGAAAAAGTATCTACACATTCATATGTTTCATGTGAAAATAGATCTGCACATTCTCATATTTAAAATCAGAAGGGAATGAGGAAAATGGAAAGCATTTTAAGCCCATAGAAATATGTTGTTGCATTGTAATCTTAATATTATTGTGCCTGTGGAAGAGGATCTTCTTCCCTTGAAACACATGCATCTTCTATCCTTCTTTTCGAAAGAACAGCAGGAGGACAGATGATTGAGTAAAGGGATTTGCACAGTGGAAATGACAGGCCCCCATCTCATCTGTCCTTCTGCCCAGCTTTCCATTAACCATCAGGACCTACCAGAGGCCTGGAGAGCTTCCTAACTGTGCTGCTTCAATACTCTTGCATCATTGATGTCATCATCTCTACCCTTCTTCTAGGAGTGGATCTTATTGAGGGAGGTCTGGAAGAAGTTGTGCATGTTTAGCCATCAGTCCGAACCTTTTAGATGCAGCAGGAGACCAAAGCAACAATCCTTTTCTAATACTTTGGCCTTTCTTGGCAGGTGAATACGGCTATGCATGAGGCAAAACTTATGGAAGAATGTGACGAGTTGGTAGAGATCATCCAGCAGAGGAAGCAAATGATTGCTGTCAAAATCAAAGAGACAAAGGTAAACCCCAGAGCTTCAGGGAGGCCAAACACGCAGCTGGCCTTTTACAAAGCTCATTCCTGACTATTGCAATTTGAAATTGAATCAGAAAATCAAAAAGAAATGAGATCATTGGGAGAGACACCAAGAAGTGTTTGCTGAGTCTGATAAAAAGTGATGGCAGCTCTGGGCGCTGCAAACATTCTCTACTTTGGCCTGGATGTTGGTTATGTGTGCACGCATGCACACGGATGATCATTTACTTAAGATTGAGGCATTTTGCTTTAGCATGTTTTCAGTTAAATGTTTTAACATTTATTTTGTGTGTATGGGTGTTTTGCCTGGGTGTAAGTCTGTGTATCATGTGCATGCAGTGTCCTTGGAGGCCAAAAGAGGTCACGGGGTCTCTTGGGACTGGAGTTAAGGTCAGTTGTAGGCAAACATGTGGATGTTAAGAATAGAACCCAGGTCTTCTGGAAAAGTAATCACTGTTCTTAACCACTAAGCCATCTTTCCAACCCCTTACCCTCCATATTTTAAGGTAATAAAAAGAAAGGAAGAATGGTAGAAACATGGGTTGGGATTACAGAAGAAATGTGACTGCCATCTTGGCTGCTTGAGCCTTACAAAAGGTGCTGGGAAACTATTGTGATTCTGTAGGGAGGATGCAATTTGATATGGTAGAGATGTGCATGGTAGATCAAAACATGATATTGATGCCAAGAAATCAAGTTTGCAGACATGCAATGATTTCTGGTATGAGTTCTAGAAGATGTAAACCAGGCTAGTGATAGAACATATGGAAAGGAAAAGCATAATTGCTAGAGAGAAAACAGCATCATTTAATTTATTAGCTATAACAGAGAAAAGAATCAAAGAACTGCAGATTTCTATGCAGGGAACTGAAGAGTAAGGGTTAAAGAGGTCAGATGAAAGTCTCCATGCAGCCTCTGTATGTTTTTAGACTTGTTAGCCTACTGGTAAATGATAGTGATTAAAAGCCCATGCTGTGGGTACAATGGGAAAAGTTGAAAGTACCTCATTTGATGACCGATACTTTGTGCCATGCTGGGTAGTTCCAGCTAACATAAACTGAAGTTTCCAAGAATACATTGTAGTAGGTGTAAAGATACTTAGAGAAATATATGCTTGGAAATATAACTTCTCATAAATAAAAATGGGGGAGTTTTATTAAATGTATGCAAAAATATATTGCCAAAATAAAATGTAACAATGGTGATCTCTAGGTGGTAGAATTTCTTTTTATATTTGTATTTAATTTTTTAAAAATTAGCGTGCATTGCTTTTACAATCAGAACCATCTTGTAAATACAAAGAGGAGGTAGATAGTAGAGAAATGCCTGAGTGCAAAGTAAGTAATCAAGTTATAGACTGGGCAAGAGACTTAGCAGCCAGGATGAGAAGGTGAACAGTTGATGTAGGGGCCATACGATATTAATAACCCTTACTTTTAGAATCACTGGGGCAGACCTCCTTCATGGTATTTTATTGCTTTTAATTAAGCACAGTATGTTGTATCTCATCTTTTCTCTTCCCAATCTTTTAAGGTTATGAAACTGAGAAAATTGGCACAGCAGGTTGCTAATTGCCGCCAGTGTCTTGAACGGTCAACAGTCCTCATCAACCAAGCTGAGCATATTCTGAAGGAAAATGACCAAGCCCGGTTTCTGCAATCTGCAAGAAATATTGCTGAAAGGTATATATGCTCCTTATATTCTTTTGAAATGCCCGCTCTTGTGAAAGGGGGCTGGCTTAAAGTCACTTAATTCTCTTCAGCCATTGTACAGTAGCTGCCACCTGAAGATTTTTACCAGCTAGGTAAATAATTGAGCCTCAGTGATAAATTACCCTGCAGATATCTTGACCCCTTCCTCTGTCTTTGCAGCCCACCAGCTTTCTTTCTAAAATATTGTTTATGGTTTATTTAACTTTATTTTATGTGCATTGGTGTGAAGGTGTCAGATCCCCTGCAACTGGAGTTACAGACAGTTGTGAGCTGCCATGTGGGTGCTGGGAATTGAACCTGGGTCCTCTGGAAGAGCAGTTAGTACTCTTAACCACTGAGCCATCTCTCCAGCCCCCCACCACTGTTTTAATACACAGCCTTAAGCTTCCTGCTAGGTCTTGAGCAATCTGTTATAGTTATGGTGTATGGAATAGAAACTCTGGATTGCATTGATAGGGTATGCCTTTCCTAAGCCTATGTACTTTTAAAAAAATAAATCAAATTCGCTCCTACTTCCTTGACTTGAATTCCTTTCCTAGCCCCCTGTTTTCCTTCCCTACTTCATATGTTCTCTTTTTTCCAAACCACTGAGTTCATTTATTGTTGTTGTCTGTATGTGCATAGGTGTATATACAGTTTTTAATGTTTGCATTTTGGTTTTTCTTGCAGAAATTCCTTAGAATAGTAATTCTTGGGCTTTTGTTTAATCATTTGGTCCTTTGAAAATTAATGTCATGAACATTGCTCCAGAGTGTCAGAGAACTCTTGGATCATTAATAGTCTATCTATTGTCCCAGAGTCAATGCTCCTAAAGGAAATCATTGTCCAGTAAAGCCACCAATCCTTCAAGAGGTTACAGTAGACCATTAGGCCAGATATGATCTCCTTTACATATTTCACTCGCCTTCATTGAAGACTGGCTTTTAAAATCACGATCTTCCTCCCATTGGTAGTGCCATTAATCTTGGTCAGTTCACTCAGACAACTAACCCATGTAATACTCTAACCACCTAGTCATCCACCTTCTCTTATACCTTCTCCAGAGACTCCCAACTTGGATTCTCTTTATCCAGTCGTGTCCTGAATCACATCTCATCCTCATCACTCAGAATCACACAATCATAAACTAAAGTATCACATTTTCTAACCACAACCTCTTTTTAAATTCAACTTTATTGAGATCTCTAACTCTTGACTCATAGATACACTGTCCTATTTTCTATGAGTGACCTCTTGTCTCTACTTTGTTCTATGCTTATTTGGGCTTTGCGGTTTATCACTTCAGCCACTCTCTCTCTTTTCCCAATTCTCCTTCCCATCGCCCAGTCTGACAAAATCCCAAACTTGAATCAGCCCACCTTTTCCCATGCCTGTATTTGACTTTCTGAATTTTGGTAGAGAAAAATCACACAACCAAGTATGCACCACACTACTGAGCGTGCAGTACTAACTCTGTTACTATGGTCAGCTTCCTTTTCAATCCAGCTCCACAATGCTATTTCAAATCTTATTGTACTCACCCTAAATTTCAACACTGCTGTGTTTCTGCTCATGCTTGCCAAATTATATAGATAATGTTAAGTATAAATGATAATGTTTAAGTTCTCGTATCAAATTTCTAGACGTAGTTATGTGCATATGCCTTACTTCCACCTTCCTTCTGGTTCTAATAAAAGACTTGTCTCCTCATTTGTGATTTGGCTATGTGCATCCTTATTTTTTATAGCTTCAATTTTCCACACAGTTGTTGGTTTCACATCCGCTTTTAGGCCCACTCATGTCTCCATAGACTAAAACAAAATTTAAAAAACCACAATTTTCTTCTACCTCATATTCCCCATAGTTGTCATTGTATTTCCCTTCTCTTTGAAGACAACTGCTTTCTACTTCCTCAGTCCTTATTTTCATTAAATGTTAAATCTTGTTTACAAAAAATGACACCTTGTACGTAGTTAGAATGTAAAATATAGCAAAATTATATTGCCAGAAACAGCACTCTCCTATTATCCAAAACATATAGGTTGTATTAATCCAGCAGCATTTATAATCAAATGTCTTTTAGCAGCTGTTGCTCCTTCCTCAGCTGTCAAACAATTCAAAGACAACATAATAACATACAGTATCCAGATTCTCTGTGTAGTTTCCATCTTTATGTGGCTTTATTTTGAACTCTATTTCTTTTATTTTTATTTTTAGTTTTTGATTTTTTTGAAACAGGGTTTCTCTTTGTATCTTTGGCTGTCCTGGAACTCACTCTGTAGACCAGGCTGTCCTTGCACTCACAGAGATCCACCTGCCTCTGCCTCACAAGTACTGGTATTAAAGGTGTGTGCTACCACATCCAACTATTCTCATTCTTTCTTTTTTTAAGTACTCTGTCCTTTTTCTTTTCTCTCCCAAGCCTATGTATATTTTTTAAAACATACTCTAAACCATTTAGAGGTTTTTTTTTATCTGAATCTATCTTTACTGTATATCTCTCTTTTTCTGACCATATGAGTCTTTAATTTGCTAAGTGATATGGCCAGGATTAAAGCCATGGCTTTGATGATTGGATCCACCCCATTCCTTAGCTTTCTGAGAGTCTAGCTTCATGGTGGAGTTACTGGAAGGAGCCATGTTTATTGCCACAACTCCATAGAGTTTCAAGATTCCTGCCACCACCAAGAATCATGCTGTTGGCTATTTATAAACATATTTTAAGTGTTTGGTGGTGGGGCCTCTTAAAAGAACTGCAAGATTTTTGCAGCTAAAGCTGAGTCAGGAAGCCTCTCTTAAATGAGACGCGCTTGCTTCTAGCAAACAAAGCCCACCTGAGAAAATGCTGCTACCAAGAAACTATGCTCAACTCTGTTCTTTTATGTCTAGAATTACTTTCCAATATCTCTCAGGTTTTATGTGGATGGAGTTGACCATGTTGGGCACCAGATGAAGATGGAAGTTATAAAAATAATCTCATACTAGAATTGAGTGTAATAAAGGGTTATTTATTTAGTGGTAGACTCAGAAATCACAATCCTCTGCACAAACAGGGAACAGAAACCGAATCCAGAAGCAGGGAGTGGGGGGATGCAAGCATGAGCTTTACATTGGCATTTATAGTATAAGACGCCACACCCAAGTGGACTGGTATCTTAAAGGAGTTCCTACAGCACACATGAGCCCTAATACCTCCATTTTCTCAGTGTTCTCTTCTGTTGGTCTCTTTTGTTCTTGAAAGTTTCACTCCTATTTTCATCGTGTACCTGATTTTATGAATCTATATATAAATCTAAAAACTACAAATGAGAAAAAAGCATATGATGCATTTTGAGACTGGTTTCATTTGCTTAATTGAACATCTGTAGTTGAATTCATTTTCCAACAAAGTAACTTCATTCTTCTTTTTGGCCCCCCAAATACATACATACATACATAATACACACACATATATAATACATACATACACATGTGCATACACATGTGCATAGATATCATATTTTTCTTCATTATCCTATTGTTGGGCACCTAGATTGGTTCCATAACTAGACTATTATGAAACACTGATGTATAAGAAACTTTGTGATATGTTGACTTGGAGTCTTTGGGGTAAATATCCAGGAATGTTGTAGCTGGGTCATATGGTAGATCTATTTATCATTCTTTTTTTTTAAAATATTTATTTATTTATTTATTATGTATACAATATTCTGTCTGTGTGTATGTCTGCAGGCCAGAAGAGGGCACCAGACCTCATTACAGATGGTTGTGAGCCACCATGTGGTTGCCGGGAATTGAACTCAGGACCTTTGGAAGAATAGGCAATGCTCTTAACCACTGAGCATTCTTGAACAGCCTTCATACTGATTTTTATAACTAGTTTACATTTCCACTAGCAGTATATAAGGGTTTCCTTTTATCCATATCCTGGCCAGAATTTATTATTTTTTAAATGATTATCACTCTGACTTGGATAAGATGCAATCACAATGCAGGATTTATTTGCATTTTCTGATGGTTACTGAAGCTGAACATTTTTTCATGATTGTTGTTCACTTGCATTTTATCTTTCTATTTTGGGGTTTGATCTGTGTGTATGCATGCATGCATGTGTGTATGAAGGTGCACGTGTTTTCCCATGCCCATTTGTATGTGTGTGCATGTGGTGAGCAGGGGACAACCTTACTCGGTCTTCATCCATTTTGTCTTTTGAGATATGTTCTCTCACTGGCATAGAATTCACCAAATAGGCTAGCTGGACAATGAGCTTTGGGTATCTACGAATCTGCCTTCCCAACACTGGAATTATAAGTATAACCTACCATATCATGCTATTTTTCACATGGGTTCTGAGGATTGAACTCAGGTCCCCATGCATCCACAGTAAGCACTTTACCAACTGATCTATCACCCAAGCCCCCCACATTTTATCTTTTGAGATCTATTCATGTCATTAACACATTTATTGATTGCATTGTTTGATGTATTGCTGTTTGGTGTGTTCTTTATATAGTCTAGATATTAATCCTCTGACAGATATAAAGCTAGCAAAGGTTTTTTCCTATTCTGTTGGCTGTCTCATCACTCAATCAACTATTTCCTTTGCTAGATAATGTTTTTAGTTTCATGAGGTCACATTTCTCCTTCATTCACATTATTTCTTTAGTGACTGGTCAAGTTGTACTACAGAGTCATAGTAACTAGAATAGCTAATTAAAATGATCCCTGACTCAAAGACAGAAGCATACATTGATAAAATTAGAATAGAAAACCTACATGTAAACTCACACAGCTATCGCCACCTGATTTTTTTTTAAAGATACCAAGAATACATATTGGAGGGAGAAAATAGTCTCTTCAACAATTGGTGATTGGAAAAAATGAGCATTCACTTGTATATGAATGAAGCTAGACCCTCACCTCTCACCCTGCATAATTATTAGCTCCAAATAGATGAAATATCTTAATTTGAGACCTGAAATATTAAAACT